GAGTAGAACCAAGTATAGAAAAGGATAGAAAGATAGTTTTGGAGGAAGAATGGTACGGCCAGTAGATACCACGTGAGCACATGATGCTGAAGTCACAGTGTGTCTCCAGACGGGACTGGTGCCACCAGAGCAAAAGGCCATTCCACGTGGGATACCAGACTGAGAGGGGATGATCTATCTGTAGAAGGGGTCTGGCACAGCACCCCTTGATACTCTTGCATGTCTTAATCATGTGGATGTTTAAGGAAAAATTGTCATATGCCATCAAGTCGATTCTGACCCCTAGCAACCTAGTATGCCAGAATAGAATGCCCCATAGGGCTCACTAGGCTGTAACCTTCATAGGAGCAGATTTCCAGGGCTTTTGTCTCGTGGAGCAGCTGATGAGTTTGAACCACCCACCTTCCAGTTAGCAGCCAAGGGCTTAACCATAGTCCTGCCAGAGTTCCTTAAGGAATAAGTAGCTTCGATTGGTCTAGTCAGTTGGGTTTTAATCAGGAACAGAATTTCTGTAAGGTCTCTAGTTTCCACACCACCAGCTTTATTGACTCTATGAGCTGAGGGAAACGGGGTTGTCATCTTCAAGAAGGAAGCCCAGAGCCTAGGGAGGGAGGAATAGCACCCGTCCCCTGGTAGGGCCACTTGGAGTCAGCTCATTTAGCATGTGACAGCCACAATTTTGCATTGGCTTCCTCTTGTTGCTAGGTGCTGCCAAGTCAGTTCCGACTCACAGCAACCCCATGGCCAACGGAATGAAATAGCACGCGGCCCTGTGCCGTGCTCACGGTCTTTGCTATGCTCGAGCCCGTTGCAGCCACTGTGTCAGCCCGTCTTGTGGAGGGCCTTCCCTGTCTCCCTGACCCTCTACTTTACCAAGCACTGTGTCTTGCTCCAGCGACTGGTCCCTCCTGACAATGTAACCACAATTCAAGAGGCTTCCCCGAACCTGAACATTTCAGGGTGTCCTTACACCATCACCAGTGACCAGGGCTTGAGCTCAGCCTAGGAACAGCGTGTGCCGCATAGGCTAGAATGGAAACTTGAGGCTCTCCTCTGGCTTGTTAACCTCCTCAGTTCAGGCCAGGTGACCCGCAGTGCCACCTGCAGGAGGCCCCCAACAGTAGCACAGGCTGAGGTCAGCCCAGGGAGTGCCATCCGGCCCAGGACCCTTGAACATTGGGGAGGGGGACTGCTTTTCTCTGGAGACAGTGCTTTGCTTTCTACTTGCTGATGTTTTCAATGCTAATGGGTGGCATTTTTATTTTATTTTTGCCTTGGAAGTGCCTGGGATCATCTGGTGGAAGCACGACAGTGTTGCTTTTTCGTAGATTGTCCGGTTTAGATCATGGCTGGTGGAATTTCTCTCCATGGCACCTCCTTTCCTTTCTCTACTATGTGGCATCAAAGCCAGCCAAAGTCCACTGCAGTGTCATTTGCTGTCTGCCCTCTTTATGGGGCCCAGGAGAGGAGAGCGCCCCTGGTGGTTGCACACTGCAATTACCTGCAGCTCGCAGGCCCAAGCAGCATTTAAATAGGACCAAAGGACCAACTGGGGGCTCTGGTGGCGTAGTGCCTAAGGCATCGGACTGCTAACCAGAAGGCTGGCGATTCAAACCCACCAGCCACTCCTCGGAAGGAGGGTTGGCCAATCTACTTCCATAGTGATACTACCTTGGAAACCCAAGGAGGAGTCGCTATGTGTCAGATCCAACCTGGCAGCAGTGAGTTTGGTTTGTTTTTTTTTAACTGACCAAACTGACCTGCCGTTTCAGCAGCTCTTGACTCCCGGTTGTGCTTGCTCTGGTCCACCCTGCCACCCCTCTTCCCACAGGCCAAGAAATGCATGGTGATCGGTGGCTCTGGCTTTCTCGGGCGGCACCTGGTGGAGCAGCTGCTGGCCAGAGGCTACAAGGTCAGCATCTTTGATGTCCGGCAAGGCTTTGAGAACCCCCAGGTGCAATTCTTCCTCGGTGATCTCTGCAGCCGGCAGGTAAGCAGCCACCTGGAGTACCCACGGGCCCCCCAGGGCTGGTCGCCAGCCTTCCCTGACTTGAAGGCCATACAAATGTTGCTTCCCAAAAATTGTATGGTTTTTGGGAAATTAAAACATGATAGGACTAGTAGCACTAGTAGCAAAGTTCAACAAGACAGAAAATAGCAAATGCTGGCGAGGATGCTGAGAGATTGGGACTCTCACACACTGCTGGTGGGACTGTCAAATGGTACAACCACTGTGGAAAGCAGTATGGCGATTCCTTCACAAGTTGGAATTAGAAATACCATTTGACCCAGCCATTCCATTATTAGGTATATATCCTAAAGAAGTGAGAGCCATGACAAGAACAGACATATGCACACCCATGTTCATGGCAGCACTATTTACAATAGCCAAAAGATGGAAACAACCTAGGTGTCCGTCAGCTCAGGAATGGATCACCAAACTATGGTCCATACACACAGTGGAAGACTATACAACTCTAAAGAGTAATGTAGAATCTGCCAAACACTACATAACGTGGATGAACTTGGAGGACATTATGCTGAGTGAAATAAGTCAATCACAGAAGGAAAAATATTGTATTAGTTATTGTAAAAAGTCAAGGAAAAGTTTATCTGTGGAAAAAAATTTTCTTTGTTGGTTACCAGGGGTGGGAGGGGAGGGAAGAGAACAAATAAAAAAAAAAATGATTGGAAAGGCTTTAACATATACCCACATTCTTACTAAGGAACCATAGTGGCACAGTTAAAGAGCTTGGCTGCTAACCAATAGGTCAGTGGAGCGAACCCACCATCTGCTCGACGGGAGAAAGATGTGGCAGGGCTTGGATAATTTCTCTTAGAAGGATCAGCACAAGGCTGGTGGCAGAGGTTAAAGATGTCCCATACGTCCAGCTTTTCCAAACTGCCATGCCTCTCTGTCATCTCTGACATCAACTCCTCCTCCCCGCGTCACTCTCCCTCCCACCTTAGGGTTCAGTATTTGGCTGTAACGTCTCATAGAACTCACAAACTCCCAAGGAAACGGCTCATGTGGGGTAATGGAGGCTGGCTGGCTGGTAGGCTGGCAAGTCCCAGGTCTGTGGGTAGGTCCAGAGGATTCTCCCAACTCACATGGTTGTAGGGATTGGTGAACCCAAATTGGCAGGTCAGATGACGGCTACTGCGTCAACTCTAGGGGTGAGATGATAACGAACCAAACGTAGAACTGGAGCAAGAAAGTGAACTTTCCCAGAACGTTTATACTCTATACCCTCAAGGAACTGTGGTGACTTGAGTCACACCCTCCAGCAAGGTGGGACTCAAGATACATCCCACCTGAAACAGGCATAGAGACCAGGATTTACAATACATCACACACTGGAGGATGGTGGCTGGAGGCAATAGGAAGCAATTCACTGCCCTGCAGACAGTCGGCTCCCGAAAAGATTGACAGCCTAACAAGCTCAACGGGGGTACTCTGTCAAACAAGGTCGCTAGGAGTCAGAGTCGACTCGAAGGCAATGGGTTGGGTTTGGTGACGTGTTTACTGCTCAGAAGTACGTGTTCTCCCTGTCACAGGTATGCAGCTCTGCCATTGTTGCCCTGGAAGCAGCCATGGTCAGCCTGTAAATGAGTGGTGCCAATAAAGCTTTATTTAGGAAAAGGCTTGTCCACAGGCCTGCTCTAGGGCATATACCGCAAGTGCAATTACTGGGCCATGGAGTATGGATCTTGTTTTCTTTGAGATGTATTTCACATAACATAAAATTCATCCTTTTCATGTGTACAACTGAGTAAGCACAGTCACTGTTGGGCAGCCATCCCCACGGCCAGTTTGAGAACATTTTCACAACCCCCAGAGGAGACCCTGTCCCCATTAGCTCTCAGTGCTGACTCCCCTCTCCCCTTGCCCCTGGCCACCACTAATCCGAGGCTTCCTGTGGCTCGAATCCCACAGCGTTTGTCCTTTCGTATCCAGCTTCTTTGGCTCAGCATCGTCTCTAGGCCCATCCTTGCTGGAAGGGCGTTATTACTGTTGTTAACTTGATTGCATGTGGCCAGAGTGCACGACACAGCTGTGACGTCAGTTTTGCATTCACACCAGCAGTGTGGTGGCATCCGCTGCCCCACATCCTTGGGCATTCAGAAGGGTATGGAACGGTCCTCGTTGATGGGTAAACTTTACTTGCTCTCTGCAGTCAGGAAGCTGGCCACAGCGCCCCTTGGTAACTGGCATTCCAGTTTCCTCCTGTGAAGTGGCCACCCAGGACCTGTGTCTGCTTGTCGTTGGGGTCTCCTTGATTTCCTTGTTGTCACATGTGTGGCATGCGCCTCCCTCCACTGTCTCTAGGCTCTTCTGCCTGGCTTTGGTGGCATCTGCCATACAGTTGTTTTTTATTTGACCTTTGAGGACACGATTTCCCCTGCACCATTCTCCCTTATTCTGCCGTAACCCCCTCCACCTTTGAAGACTGCACCAGTGAATTGTACCCCCAGTTCCCTTCCTTTTATTGCATCCACCCCCCTTCCCAGGTGACTCCACCTCATTCCTGGCCAGTGTCAGCTCGGCAGCTGTCGTGGTTTCCCAGGGCTGTCGTAAGAATACCACAGAGTGACTCGGAAGAACGGAAGCTTATCCCCTTGCCGTTCTGGAGGCTGGGAGTCCAAACTCGGGCTCTCGACCCCGCCGATTGCTTGTGAGGGTTCTGAGAAAGGGGCTGTTCCAGACCTCTCTTGTAGCTTCTGGTGACTGCCAGCAATCCTTGGTGTCCTTGGGCCATTTATAGATGAGTTTTGCCATGGCATCTGTCACCCCCCTTTGTGTGCCCTGCCACCATGTCTGCTCTCCCCTCAGGGCATGAGCAGGGCTAGATGCTCTCTCTTTTCTTTCTTTTTTGTTTATCGTGCTTTGGGTGCAAATTTACAAAGCAGAATTTGTTTTACATTCAACAGTTCATGTCCATTTGATTTCACTCCCCAATTACCATCCCCAGCCTTACCCCACTCTCCTCCTGTCCCTTCCCAGTGACCCCTCATCCCTGTGCCCTTCTTAGTTATACCCTCCTGTGTGTTCAGATTTTGCTCCGTGTGACTGTTGCCTCTCTGGTGCCTCATGGCTGATTGCTCCAAGGGATGCATCTCTGTAGAGTAGGAGGGTGCATTGCCCTGGGTTGGGTGTTGTACATGTAAGTCTTATTTACTGTTGGGCTAAGAGCCAGCCCTTGGGAGTGAGTTTTATCCCAGTCCCAAAGTATATCCCAGGGCCATAGTCTTGGGGATCCCGCCAGACGCAATCCGACCATTAATTCTGGTCATTATTGTGTTTTTGGATTTGGTTCCATGTTTTCCCTCCCACCTTATCCAGGCTCCCCGAGGATTTGATCCGTCCCCGAGTGGCTGGCGTTGGTAAGGGCTCGAGCACTCTCTTACACTCACATTTCCCGTCTCTCTCCCTGTCTCTCTCTCAGCTCTGGAGGAAAGTTCTTCTGTCTCTTCCTGCTTCCAGTAGTTGCTGGCAGCCCTTGGCAGCCCTGGGCTTGTAGATGCATCTTTGGATGACATCTGTGTCCCCCTGTGGATGTCTCCCTATGTGTTCCCACGTTCTGTAGGACACCACTCAGAAGGAATTGGGTTTAGGACCCACCTTGTGCTGGGGTGGCTTCATTAGCGTAACAAAAGAGAACCCCTCTTTCCAAACAGGGTCCCGCTTACAGGTGGAAGGCTTAGGGCTTTCACATATATTTGGGGACACGATTCAGTCCATAACTGACTTTCACAGAAGTGGCTGCCTGGTAGTGCCCAGGACAAGCTTGACTGGAGGAAGTTTGAGAGAAATGAGGACAATATGGAGACAGTCTGGGAGACTCTTGCAGGTTTTCTATGATGAGCCACTGGACCAGGGTGGAGGCGCACTAGTGCTCAAGGGGACCTTCGTATGCCAGTGAGAATGATCGAATGGAGAGCACAAAACCGACGCCGGCACGTGCTGCAATAACCCCGGGAGCTCCTCAGGCAGGAGAGGGAGAGGTGGGGGAGCTGGGGGACTCTAGTGGCCGGCCAGACCCGACACTGGACGGAGGACAGGTGTGCAGATGCAGATGGCTTGCTAGACTGGATTGTGGGGGGACGAGAAACCCTCCTCTGGCAGCTGCTTACCCCACTCTTGAGAGTAAGGAGTTGGGGGTGAGGAGCGGGAGGTCTGAGGCGAGAGGAGAGAGTGTGGAGAGCAGATGGACCAGGGCAGATGTAGCAGAGTGGCCAGGAACTGCCAAAGGCCATCTGAGGTTAAGGTTCACCGATTGAAAGGGAAGCCAGTCAGTGGTATGTTGTTCCATTGCTACACTCAGCTGCTCAGGAGCAGGCACGGAGAAAGGGAGAGTCCAGTGTAACCGGGGCTGTGAGTTTTCCATATTTGATAAAGGCTGTGATTGTAATGACAGACGGCGAGGTAAGCCTAAGCTGAGAAGGGAAAGGTGGATATGATGGTGGGGGAGGCCATGGCAAGGAAGGACTTCAACTGTCTGAGGAGTCAGCTCTTAGGTTCACACTGTGCTATACTGAATTGTTTGCTCATCAGGGCTTCTTATATCACTTCCTTCTTCCGGGTTCCTGTCACTTCTTGCTGAAATATTTCCTTCAGCAGCTCCCCGGCAAATATCTACGGGCAGTAAACTTCCTAAGCCCCTGTATGCCTGAAAATGTCTTTGTTTCACCCTCACTCATAAATTCTGCTTTAGCTGGTGCTTGAATAATTTCTCTTAGAAAGATCAGCACAAGGCCGGTCTCTTGTGGTGGAGGTTAAGGATGTCCCAAACGTCCAGCTTTTCCAAACTGCCGTGCCACTCCGTCATCTCCAGCAGCCACTCCTCCTCCTCTTCCTCCCCTCAGCACTTGCCCTCCCTTCTTAGGGTTCCGTAGCCTGCTGTAATGTCTCACAGAACTCCCAGACTCCCAAGGAAACAGCTCACGTGGTGGTGGTGCTGGAGGCTGGCAAGTCCCAGGTCTGTGGCTAGGTCTGGAGGATTCTCCCAGCTCATGTGGTTGCAGGGGCTTGCCAGCCCAAGCCAGCAGGTCACATGACGGCTGCTGTCTCAAGTCCAGGACTGAGATGATGACGAACCAAGCACACAACTGGGGCGAGAGCGCAGGCATTCCCAGGGCATTCCCATATATGCCCTCAAGGAAGCTAAGGGGTGACTAGAGTCACGTCCTCCAGCAAGGCGACTCAAGATACATCGGCCCTAAACAGGTGTAGAGATGAGGATTTCCCATACATCACACAGTGGCGGGCAGAGGCTAGAAGGACCACACCAGGCAGTTCACTGCCCTGCAGCTGGGTATAGAAATATGGGGTTCATCATCCACGCTTTGAAATTATCCCACTGTCTTGTGACATCTGTGGTTGCTGATGAGAAGTCTGCTCTCTCTGAACATTGTTTCTTTGTAGGTGACCTGTTTTCTTCTTGTGGCCTGACTTTCTTTTTTATTCTTTATGATCTATAGAGAATACGTCTAGGTGTGAATTTTAGTTGTGTTTTTAAATCTTACTCAACACTGAGCGGGGTCTTTATAATCTAAGAACTCACTCATGTCTTTCCTCATTTCTTGGTAGTTCTTCAAATACTGGCTCTACCCTCCCTCTCTCTTGCTGGGAGCCTTACTAGACACATGGGGGGTTTGGGGTTCCATTCCCTCTGTCTCCTAACCTCTCTGTCATGGGTTCCTTCTCTTTCTGTCTTTGTCCCATTCTGTAGGAGAGTTCCTCGACTCCGTACCCACTCACGGCCCATCTAGTTTCATCTGTACCTTTACCCACATTGTTTTGAAGCCAGTCCTAGACATTCTGTCATTTCATCTGTAAATACTTCAGTATTTATCTCTAAATCCTGAAAAGAAATAATAATCACGAGTCCGTGATCATACCTAAAACTCTGAAAAAAACAAACCAAACTCTGCTGGCGAACCGGATCTGACTCCTAGCGACCCCTCCCTGGGTTTCTGAAGCAGTATCATTACAGAAGTAGATGGATTGCCCAACCTTCCTTCCGAGGAGTGGCTGAGGGGTGGCAATAATTCTTGGATACCCAGCCAGTGCTCAGGTGTCCCTGAATGCCTCATGTCTGTTTTTGAAGAGTTGGCTTTTCCAAGTAAGGATCCACATGGCCAAGATAATGCATTTGGTTGATTTATTTGAATCTTTTAATTTTTAAGATCTCCTTTATTTTTTTTTTAAAAAAAAAAGTGTGTTTGTTGAAGAAACCACGTTTCTTGTCCTGGAGCATTTCCTGTGGTCTAGATTTTGCTGCTCACGTACGCATGGTGTCCTCTAACATGTTGCCTTGTCCTCCCGCGTGTCCTGCTAACTGGTACATTGGGGACTGGGCTGTCCAGTAAGGCGGCCATGGGCCACATGTGGTCACTGAGCACTTGAACTGTGCCTCATCTGAATTGAGAGATGGTGTCAGGGTAAATGACACACTGGATTTCCAACTGTACAAAAAAAGATTGTAAAATACCTCGTTAACAATTTTTGCATTGATTACATGGTGAAATTATAACAGTGTGGTGTTTTCTATTAAATAAAATTATATGATGATTGGTGGTGTTGTCTGGTGCCGTTGCATGGTCTCTGACTCCTGATGACCCCGTGCACAGCAGGGCGAAGCACTGCCCGGCCCAGCGCCAGCCCCGCCACCCTCGCTATACCCGAGCCCATATCAAGACACGTTTTGCCTTTTTCCTTTCTCCTTTTTTTAATGGGGCTGATTTTTGGAAGTCAGTCTCCAGGCTCTTCTTCCTAGTCTGTCTGAGTCGGAGGCTCCTCTACAGCCTAGCCAACAGCTCGTGAATCCTTTTCCTATCCCTGCAGTCGTCGTGAAGAACTTCCTTCCTGTCTGCTACAGTGAAGTGTTCCTGCCTCATCTTGTGTATGTTTGGCCCCAGATCTGCCATGGCCATTTCGCTGGGAGCTATGGTCCTTTCAGCAGTAAACTAACCTATTTTAAAATCCCATTCAGGCTGCCGCATCATGTCAAGTTTCACGGGACAGAATACTTCTGTGTATTGACCATTTGCACTGTCTTTGATGATGTGGACTTGGTCAGAGGATTTTAATCTATGAGCTTATTTATTTTCCCCAGTTTGACCTCCCTGGGACCCTCTGTCTGGATCCCATAGGCTGCTCCTGCCCCAAATCAGTTTTTGTTGGGGACCCAGCAATGCGAGGGGCCATTCAAGGGCTAGCCTGGTTTGACTCATTTACTGCGCAAGCGTATCTCTGTTGACTGCGTGCCCAGAAAGGCATGGCGGCCTGGGAGCCACAGGCCCGGGGGCGGAAGGCGAGGAGCCTGGTGACCCGCCTGAGGCAGGGGTGATTTGGTTTTTTGTCTTTGTTTCCTTTTTCAGGACCTGTACCCAGCTCTGAAAGGTGTGAGCACAGTTTTTCACTGTGCTTCACCTCCACCATCCAGTGACAACAAGGAACTCTTTTATAGAGTGAATTACATTGGCACCAAGAATGTCATTGACACTTGCAAAGAGGCTGGGGTTCAGGTAAGGGATGACAGGCTTAGCTCTTCTTTTCAGATCATGATGTCTTGGTGTCTCCGCCTGCCTCTCTGGTCAGGACTCCCCAGACAAATGGTCAAGCTGGCACTTGAGCTCACGGTGCGCAGTTGGCTGAGCTGGGCCCTTGTCGCAGAGCCTCTTCCTCTAGAACCTTCTCAAGCGGGGGTGCGCATGTGTCGCGAGGATGTGTGTGCACGTGCACGTGGCTGTACGTGTGTGTGCGCCCACACGTGCTCACATGTGGGGTTGGTCTCAGAATCATCAGTGGTCTTTTTCAAACAGACATCTCCCAAGAAGTTCATGGACTGTCCTTCCCTCTGAGATCCCATTAATAATGGGGGTCTGTTGTCCCCCAGCTGTGGTGGGATAGAGAAAAGCATGAAACCCACCGTTGTACAGTGTGAGGCTGTAGTGTGTCTGGAATCTGTCTCCGGGCAAAGTCACTGCAGCAGATCATTTGCACAGCGCCGTGTCCTTGCAGGTGGTCAGCGGAGGCCCCTTGCTTCTCTTCCCTACGTGGCGTCAGGCTGTTTGAATAGGGATTTTTCCTGACGTCTTGTTGTTGAATCCTTCTTTCTCCTCCACCAGAAACTTGTTTTAACCAGCAGTGCCAGTGTCATCTTTGAGGGTGTCGACATAAGGAATGGCACTGAGGACCTCCCTTATGCCATGAAGCCCATCGACTACTACACGGAGACCAAGATCCTGCAGGAACAAGTGCGTACCTGTGGCCTGAGAGAATGATGGGGCTCTGTGGAGAGCTGCAGGGGGACATTCTTAAGAAAAAGGTTGACAACCATATGAGGTCAGTGTTCTCAGGCCTATGTACCTAACCTGTGAAGTCAACACTCTGGATGAAACGGTATTTAAAATAGAAAAGAATTCAAGGAGAACTGCCACTTCCTGTGACCAGACAGGTTTGTGCCAGACATGCCCCTTTCCTGGTCTCTCACAGGTGGTCCTGGGTGCCAATGATCCGGAGAGGAATTTCTTAACTGTGGCCATCCGCCCTCATGGCATTTTTGGCCCCAGGGACCCCCAGTTGGTCCCCATCCTCGTTGAAGCCGCCAGGAAGGGCAAGATGAAGTTTGTGATTGGGTGAGTTGTCCCCGCACCCCCCGCCCATATTCCCAGAGCACTCTATAAGTAGCCGGGCTATTCTGCAGCTGTTCTTGTGTGGGACCTTCACAGTTGCCCTGTGGTTTCATTTGCTGGGGTGTAACGAATGAGCACACGCTCAGGCATAACACACCAGAGGTGTCACCGTCCTGGGCCGGAGGCCTGAGGCCAGGATATGGGTGGAGCCATGCTCCCTCGGAAGGCTCCAAGGACAGATCTTTCCTTGCCTTTTCCGGCCTCGGGCGGTGCCTGGCATTCCTTGGCTTGTGGACACATCCCTCCTCTTTGCCTCTGTGGTCGTGTGGTTGTCCCCCCACATATGTGTCTTCACATGGCCTTCTCTAAGGGCACCAGTTACTGGATTTAGGGCCCACCTACTCCAGTGGGACCTTATCTCAACTCATGACTTCTGCAGAAACCCTATTTCGAAATAAGGTCATGTTCATAGGTGCAGGGTGGGCATGGATTTTGGGGGAACACTAGTCAGCCCAGTGCACCCTCAGGCTGAAGGGCAAGCGATTAGCCTAGGGTCAAGGGTCGAGGCCTCCCTCCTTGGGTCTAGGAATGCGGGAGGGTGCAGTCCCTGCTTCCTCAGGGGAAGTGTGGGCGCAGGGCCTCCGTAGCTGGTAGCACTCTGGTAGCCGAGGCGACGGTGGCTGTCTCCCGAGCCCGCCTCCCCGCCTCTCATTCTTGCTGCTCTCCTCCCCCAGCGCCTCTTCATCTCCCTGGCCTGTGCTCAGCTGCTGCCTTCTCAGCTCACAGTGTTTTAGGACCTCAGTGTGGAGCGATCAGAAACAGAGGAATGGGAAACTGAGACCAGAGCTAGGCCTCGGAAGGGGCAGCAGACACCCCGCTGCCTGAGGGCCCCAGCACATCCTTCTGGTATTCCAGGCCGGATGCTGACTCTGCCGAGGCCGGGGCAGCCATCCTAGTCGCACAGGGGCTCCATGGGGGTGCAGCAAGCATGAATTGAGCCTTTTCTTCTGTGCCCACAGAGACGGGGAGAACTTGGTGGACTTCACCTTCGTGGAGAACGTGGTCCATGGCCACATCCTGGCGGCAGAGTGCCTCTCCCGAGACTCGGCCGCGTGTGGGAAGGTGAGGCCCCCCCCCCGCCAGCCTTCCGGCCCATTCTCAATGACGTGGAAGCAGTTAGCCAGTTCCTGCTGCGATCCTCCGCCCTGGGGGCTCAGCTTCCGGCCCACCTTGTGCCAAGGGCGAGCCCCTCCAGTGGGAGACCTGCCTTCACTCCTGGGCAGCCACAACCCTGTGCCCAGTACGCCGGCACTGAACAGATTCAGGGGGCATTTCTCCGTGGGGTAACGTCCCCCAAGCCAGGTGCTTGCCCCTTCTGCCACTGGTTCCTGAAGCTCCACACTCAGGTTCTTGGGTGGCCCGAGGGCTGCAGGGACCCCTGCCCTTTGCCCTCAGCCCTGGGGCCCTTTCTTTCTGGGGCTCAGTCCTCCTTGCGCTCTCCCAGACCTTTGCCGTCTGCCCTCCTGTAATTGGGGACAGGAGCTAGTTCTGCTGTCAGCATTGTCGTCCAGTTTATAAGTCGGCCTTCCCGGTCACGGTCCCAGTGTCCCTTGAACTCCCAGCCCCATCTCAGGCTTTCCCCGCTGACTCTGCACCCCAGGCGGTTCAGATCGACAGATCCAAAAGGCACCTCCACTGCCACCTGCCGTTCTCAGACAGCGCGAGAAAGGTGCTGGTGGTAACTGGCGCATGGGCCTGTGCGCTTTGTGTGGGCGTGAGCTACTCGTCCCCTTGCAGCTGCCCTGTAGTGGCCACTAGCTTCCTGACGCGTTAGCTGTGGGCCAAGCTCAAGTTCCCGAGCGCAGCCTGCTTGCTGCGATGGCATTTCTCACTGTGCCTTCTCTCTGCAGGCCTTTCACATCACCAATGACGAGCCCATCCCTTTCTGGACATTCCTGTCCCGCATCCTGAGGGGCCTCAACTACGAGGCCCCCAAGTACCACATCCCCTACTGGCTGGCCTACTACCTGGCCCTGCTGCTGGCCCTCCTGGTGACGGTGGTCCGGCCAGTGCTCACACTGCGGCCCACCTTCACACCCATGCGCATCGCGCTGGCCGGCACGTCCCACTACTACAGCTGCGAGAGAGCCAAAAGGGTCCTGGGCTACCGCCCCCTGGTCCCCATGGACAGGGCTGTGGAGCAGACCGTGCACAGCTTCCGCCATCTGCGCAGGATCGACTGAGGCCCCGGCCCCGCCGTGTCCTCTGTGGGCCAAGGAGCCAACCCGGCTGGGCTTGGGGCTGCTTGGTAGCCAACAGTGCACCTGGCCCTCCTGTGCCCGTGAGGCTGGCGCCCACAGTGGACATTGCTTCCTTTATGTGATGCTTCCGGGTTCCTCAAAGCCACTGCTCTGGGTTTGCGGCTTTCTGGTCTCTCTCTGCTCCTCCATCTCTTCCTCTCTCTCTCTCTCTCTCTCTCTCTGTATGTGTGTGTCTCCCTCGCCCTCTCTCCCAGGTTCCTTAGCACAGAGATCACCTCTGAAGTCACCCCTCTCGTCCCAGTGTCCTTGTGTGGAGCTGAGGGCTAAGCTGCCTGCTGCTGACTGAGCATGGCGGGGAGATTTCTTTGCATCCAAACCAATCCTGGAGTCGGGCCTCTGGACTCTGTTCAGGAACCCATATGCAAATATGTCCCAGCAGAAAAGCAGACTCTGTAAACACGTGGGTGAGACTTGAAATGCGTGTTTCATATACACACAGTGACTCTCAGCAACCTTGTGTAAATTGTAAGCTTAAGCGACTGGAACCCTTCCCACACCCCAGGGACGTAAACTTCCTCAACTGCTTGCAAATCCCCTGTCCCTGGGGGTGTGCCTGCCTGCGTTCTCTGTGCTCATGACACAGTCTCTCGTGTCCGCGTTCCTTCTGGTGAGCAGAGTTCTGTTTTCTGTGGTGATGTGCAGAGCAGCGCCTAAGAACGTGGTCGAGGTGGGGCCCCTCCATTATCTGCTTGGAGTTTGGGCAGAAACACCCCACCCCCAGGTAATGCAGCTCACCTCACTGGATCCCAGGGCTCTAACCCCCAAGGGCCTGCTCCCTCCCACACCTGCTCTGTTCCGCTGGTGTAGCCCCGTTTCTCCTCAGGCTAGGTGAACTGTCATCACCATCCCGCCATTTTCTGAGTGTGAGGAGGCCCCTGGAGAGACTGGAGTAAAGTGAGTGGATTGGACACACCATGTAGTTCATGTGTGTGACAGGCCTCTCCGACTGAGGCCTGGACACGGGAAGCTCTTCCCATGGGGGGATATAGACAGGCCGAAGACAGGCCCTCTGACCCTGAGGTACTCAGAACAGTGGCGTTAAGATGCTTCCGCCGAGTGGAAAATGACATGCACCCCTTGAAGAGGTGGCCTCCACTCAGGGCTGCACACGCAGGCTCGGGCCACCGACAGTGATGCGTGTGGTGCGGCACCAGGCCTGAGCAGCTTCACAGCAGCTAACGGCAACGGGTCCATTCCCACCGCATCCGGGCCGGAGCCGAGCGGTGTCCCTCCAGCCCGGGGTAGAGGGCGGGCCTGCCTGGCGGGCTCCGAGCGTAAAAGCAGCCACGCAGAACCAGCCTGGGAGCTGGGGCGCGAGCATCCGGAGGGACTGTGTGCTTCAGGGGGCGCTTGAACCCTAGGAATTGCACGCAGCTTATTGATAAGAGAGAGCACATG